AGTAAGTTCAAAAAAATTCAATGTTTCCAGTTGAGTTCTTATATTACACATAGACGTCTGTATCATTGTAATATCGTTTTGGATTATATTTTATTATTATTATTTTTGTCAAAATAGAAAGATTAGAGGCCTTTTTCTTCTGATGATCATAACATTTTATGATGTTGTTTTTTATGTTCTTAATCTAAATTTAGTCATCGCTAACCTAGCTATCGGTTTTTACGGTACAAAATTTGCACGGTATTTTGTCACCATTTGAGAGCACGCTGTGTTACACGGCGACAAACGAGCCAAACAACTTGATTGATGATATTGTGTATAGGGGATAACATCCATTTGTTATTGTGGCACTAGTCAGCAGTTATTACCACTTAAGAGCGGCTAATTTGTCAGGAGGTTTCACATAACACGCATTGATATTTCGTGACAGATGGAGGGCCGGACTATTTTTGATGATGATGCACCGTTCAGTGTTAAAGCAACTCGAGCTTCTGAATTTGAATAGAAAAACCAAGGAAGTGTACAACTGCCACAGCAGGACGAGGGCATTTGACACAGGCATAGGTGTAAATAAAACAAGGTACAATGTATTGTGACAGGACACCAGAAACTCCCGTGGTGTGAAAAAAAATCAAGCATTCTACTGTCTGGAAGAAAGCACTACATCCGAGCGTTTCTTTGATTTAAACCTCTTTATTAGTCGCCGGTAGAAACCGGCGACTATATTTGTAACAGTTTAATATTATACCTATGGTAGGAGAAGGCATTAATTTCTGTAAATAAAAGCATATCAATTACTGAACAATTAAAGACTACAATTGTTTCCAGTAATCTCAAAAATTCAAACATACAATAATGTTGCTCAATGAAATGAAATATTCAAATATTGACATCGTAAAAAGCAACATTACAATTTTTATAAAATGAATTAATGACGTATCCCTATGAACCAGTCATTGAATTTAGGGATGATTTTACTTTTTTTAAAGTGTTAAGCGTTGCTATTTTATGATAAATAAATCATGCATGATATTTGAAATGACACTTTTTAATTTATCTGGTTGTTTGAATCTTATGAGACTTATTCTATTTTTTTATTATAAACAGTTTCTCCCAGAATCACGTGACTACACGTTGTATGTTATTGATATAAAATCTATTAATAGTAACAAATGGCTGGTAAGACAGATATACAGGTAACTTTTGAATGGTTGCCAGCTGATAAAGTGCAAATCAAAGTAATTTTGTATGAAAAATCTCGTTATGACAGTAGGGGCCGGAATCGTATTGGATACAAAGAGAATACATGTGTTGATAGTTTATCGCACTGAAAGGCAATTAACAGGAATATCAGCTAAATAATATATTTTTTCGATAGTGCATAAGAATTTTTTTATGCAGACACCACATTTATAGTAGAATTGCATTGTTTTATGCAATAATTAAGCATATATATTTCCATAGTCACTTTGCAAATATTCGATGATCGGTAATAATTTGTCGGTAATTATTGGAGGCTGAAAAAAACCATACGGATTTCAAATATATGGTACAACGGTATATGTATAAAGTAGAATTACAAGTAGAATTATAATCATATCACTTGCTTTACAAGCCTCGATGACAAGGTGTTAGATTTTAAGTTAGTTTCAAATTTAAGACTGTAGGTTCAATTAAGTGATCTTTATGTTTTCTCTTTATAATACTTTTTGTATTTTGCAAAACTTGACCAGTTTATCAAAATTATTTAAATAAAAAAGTGCTAGAAATGAAACACACGATTTATCAACTTATGTTTCATAAAGTTAAAAGATATAATAAAAATCAATTTATGAAAACTACACACAGGATTTGTCTGAGATTCGAACTTGCGCCTACTACATGTAGGTTACAACTTCGCCATACTTACCACCAGGCCATCAAGCAGTATTAATTGATATATGACATGTAGTTATACTTATACAATAAAATCGTTAACATTAATCATTATAAGTTATGTAAGCAAACGAAACAGCAAACGAAACAGCTCCCGAAAATTAGTGATTGCAAAACAATACTTGGTTATTTAATAATGATAACAGTTTCTTGACAAAACTGCTAGGCAAGTTTGCTTCAAATATGATGTTTTATTATAACATAACATAAATTTATTGCATAAAACTCTCAGCAAGAAATATATAATCGTGGCAAGTAAATGAAAACGTGTTTATGAATAAACATTACTCAACTTATTGTTCCTCTTTTCTTTATACCAGAACCATTGAACTGATTTTTTTATTTATGATGATACAATCATATATCTATCCGGCGACTTGATGCTTTAGCATCAAAATCTCTACTTGTGTATTAAACATGTAATTAATAAAGCTTAGACATGTTTTAGCTACCATATTGTTTTTAAATGTTCATAAATAACGTTTACTTATGTCTATGTTTTATGCCACAAAAAATGGAAAGGTTGTAAACCATTTGACAATTAACCAGAACAACAATAAATGTTGAGGTTTTCAATTTCTAATAGTAAATATATCACAACGCTGGGGATTAAAGATATATGGAAATGTATAGCAATTATTGCGAGATATTGCGAAAAATATAGCAATACATATTTAAAAAAAATGTCCTGGTTTGAGAACCAGGCCCCGTGTTCACAAAGATTTAAGGATCAGGATCAAGATCAGGATTAAATTTTAAAACTCTATTAATCTTCATTGTTTATCCTCACAGATTAAATATCTAATATTAATATGATAAAACTGGACTTGCAATAGCAAGTATATGAAATTTTAGAATAAATTTATTGTTATTTTTGCAAGATATGGGCATTTTACAGTTGATCTAAATATTGATCCTGATCCTAAAATTGATCATTATTTTGATCCGAATATTTTTTGTATTTTTATTGTTATTTGTTAATTTTATCCCAAAATAGTTTGGTTTATTTGCCAATCAGCAATGTAAATACATTTTGAATATTTACCATTTAATTCTAGCAAAACACAATTAATTTTAGTAACATAAAACAATGAAAATAAATTCAGGATCACTTGATCCTGATCCTGATCTTTTCTTAGTGAACATGGGGCCTGGTCATGCCAATAAAAAAGACAGTATTCACGACTGGAAATGATAGAAATGTTCAATGCCTAAGTAAATGGACAGCAATTTGATCTTTGAGCCAATATATATTCTGGACTAAAAGGAGCTCCACTCAGGTCCTTAAGTTTAAAATCATAAAATTGTAATTCAATTTGAGTCCAATTAAAGCTTATGGAAGGAAGATGGATGTCCGCGTGTGCCAGAGATAATGTCGTATGAATTTTACTGTGCCCTTCGTTTAAAAGACCATCTTGTCTATAATAGTCATATAACCCCTCAAATTAGTGTCAGGTACTATTCAAAAGATTGGTTCAGTGTGGTAAGTGTCCTGCCACCAATCAGTCAGTTATTTACTGGAAGCTTGTGGTGTCTACTAGTATCAGTGAGTGGTCCATCTTTACAGTCATTTCCATGCCTTACATGGCATGGTAGGGTCACTTTTAATGTATTGTGACAACCGTCAAATGAACAAATCTGCGAATGTTTCGAAATTCCAAATCAAAGAGCATTTCATGTTTAACTTACGTAAGTCGGTGCTAGGGGGAAAGGGTCGTAACTTACTTTTTTACTTCCGTCTATGAACTGGCTTAATCGAATCGAACCTGTAACAATTAGAATATTGTCATTTTACTTCCGTGCATGAACAAACTCAATCAAATCGAACCTTCCACATTTGTGCCATTATAATATAGTCGTTCATTAAGGTTAGTACCCATAACATCACCTTTAGACATATTGATGTCATACAAACTCACCAGACCAATGTGAAACAAAACCAAATTGTCCCTCCAAGCATCAAGTAAGTAAACTTTCTGGAACTGAAGTTATCTATCATATAATTCTTTCTATTTCAAAGGCCACACAGAACACATATTGGATTGTAAGTATGACAACCGAAGTTTAATATAAAATAAGTGTTTTTTTGCTGAGGTAAAAGACAAAAAGCTATCGGGGAGCCACGTCATCCTCTTGGGAGCATTTTTCCATAGGAAGACACTATTAAAATGTAGGAACATTTTAAACAGTTTTGAAGTCTTGCTGCGACAGGTTTAAGTGCCATGAAAGGTCGTGAGTGCTCATAGAATCATGAAAAAGTTTTACGACGTGAGATAGGTTAATTGAAACTGAAATTTTCCAAGAAATAAACTTTAATTTGATATACGCCGAACAGATGAAATGTCAAAGCGATGCTGACATGTCAACAAAATAATGGCCTCTTTAAAACTTTCTGTTAGTTCCAAACACATGGGACTTGTGTAAATTATTTTGCTTTCCTTGAAATTTAAGAAAGAAACAGAGTTTGATGTATTAGAAGGAGATTACAATTTCTGGCTACATCAATCAATGATGGAAGTGAAGGCGCCTACTGCATATGGGTACTGTTGAACTGGTATTATTCTAGAAGATTGATGTCTCATTTCTTTTCTATTTCAGCATTAATTTATAACATTATTCTTTCCAAAACCGTACGACTAAAACCATATTCGATGCAACGGATAAGAACAGAAAAAAATCGTGAAATACGTGTAGATATTAACGCATATATGATAAATTTGAAATTTAAAATGAGAAAAAAAAGAAGAATGAATAACATTTGAAAACAGAATGTCTACTGTCTAGTACATATGGATCTAGATATGAGAATAAATGATTGCAATAATTTATAAATTCGTTCTGGAATAAAACTTATAGCTATTATTTATACCACATTCGATACTTATAAATGAAGTTAGAGAAGAAAAAAAACCTCAAATTATCTTTTTTTGACATTTTACACTTAAAATACAAAGGCAGCAGGATAAAGATGCAATGAAAAGAAAGATACATTTTGATATTTGCATTTTAAGTCACTGTCACTAATACATGAGACTGAGTTACACAATTAAGCCTATAATAATAACATGACATTGGTTTATGATCGTGTTGGTCTTTACTCTCTAAAATCACCATTCTTAAAGTATGTGTATCGTCGACCCTGCATGGCAATTCTATGCGGAACACTCTATCATTATTCGCATCTGTCTTCATTGACACCCTAATTGAGATGATCTATGTGCGCCGCCATGATGAATGGCATCCGTTTTCTGACAAACAACCCGCTTCAATCACCACTAATCTGCCGCCGCTGCAATTTTCAGTAGTTTCGTATCTTTTGATGCCCTTACGAATCTGCGGCTCTGACAGGAAACTGATAACTGCGCATGACAGGAACTATCACTAAGAGATATCAGTTACTCTAAACTGTCGGTTTGTATCAACATACAGTGACTATCTAGACAGATAGGCTCGTAAATCGTCGGAAACAATTTGTACTCCAGACTCTTCATACTTTCTATCTAAACAATCTTTTGATGAGGAGAATAGTTGCTAGCTGGGAAAACACGCATTTTCATTTCTTATCTAAGTTTGGCAAAATACCTCTGCACAAGTAAAACAAGTTTTAAAAAAAAATCTTCAATATTTCGAAATTATTGGCTATGCTTTTCCGTTCAAATTACTTCTTTCTATTGTCATAACAAATATGTTATATAAATGACATTCAACTGTACAGCATTTCTAAGATCGAGACATAAATAGGATAAAAATGTCTCTTTAACGTGAAATTCTTCTGAACGTTCACTCTTTTAATAATGACAACAATGTCTGTCTGACTGAAACTAAATCCTTGATATCTTGTTTACGTAGATGTTTTCAATCTTGTCTGTGTTTAATATCGATATTATTATCTCACTTTCCGACTTATTAACATTGTAGCTTACAGCACTTTGTGTTAATTTCAGAATTATGTTCGACTTTCAAGACAGAGCATCAATGTCGACTGGAAGTAAAAAAGCTCTCAACAAGGATGATATTTTAATCAAGTACTACATTAATCCAAAAGACAAGAGCTTTCTCAGATCTGACAAGATCACAATTATATTGTGTGGTATAATTTGTATTAAGAAATATACTATTTAATTAATTTATATAAAAGCACAACATGATAAAGAACTGTAAAAAAGTAAAAAAAAAATAATAAAGAAAACAGTGGGTCTACAGTCTTCAAATGTTCCCACAGTAGTTAGTTGTCATACAGCACTTTTTGTGACAATCCACTTTAGTGACTACACTTAATTTTTAATTGTTTAAAAAACCCAGCAGATATGGTGTGGAAAAGAACATAGAAAACAAAATGTCATATTCATTTTCAAATGTAAATATGGATACAAGGTTCAAAACACCTGCATTGCAATGACGAAGCTCAGTTCTGTAAATTTAAATAAATTTATTCCATAAGACAAAAATATGATATGACAAATCTTTAAAAAACATACCAGTATGCTTTTTGCTTTGTTTTTTGTTTTTTAATAGTTATGGAAGTAAATAAATGGAAAAATTCAATAATTATATTTGTCTCTTGGGAGGATATTTGACCAAATCGATGACGTCATAGAATTCTACCATTTTTAAGGTACTTTGTTGAATATTGTTATTTCTTAAAACGAATTAAAGTCATGCCTATACAATGTGTATGTTAAATTAATTTTAAATCAATTCATTATTATATTAATTTGTTGCGTTGACGTCACGCGGCCAAAACTGAGGTAAAATGGTCTCTTTCCAACATTACTGGCCGAAAAATACCATTAAAATATACCATTATTGAAATGTACTATTTCAGCCATTCGTTAATTACCGAATAATCCACATTGTTTGATTAAGTAGATGTTTTGAAACTTCAAATTATACTAGAAACGGACTCACTGCATCATTTACTGCAAGCCTATACGTTTTATTGTACGTTGGTTATTATGATTACAAGCGCCGTTTACTTCCGATCACTGTATTATAATATATTGGAAGCTTGTGCAATTCAACTTGTATCATTGTTGCGATCGCATGAAAAAGATGTGTTTCTATAGAGTAATATTAGGTTCTGATTAAGAAGGTGCACATCACCACCTCCTTTTGGCTGGGGTTGCCTTTAGGAGTTGAGGCATTAGAATTGCACCTAACGTTTATCCCTACGTGATCGTAAGAGGCGACTAAATGGGTTCGAATGACTGGAATCTATACATCTCTTAGCTCCAGAATGTGACGCAGTTGCTTTTAGTTTGTAACACCCGAGGAAGCTAAAATCATCTTTCCTGTTTCGGTGCCATATGACCTGAATTAAGATGGTGCGCCGTAGAACCAAACAAACAAAGTAGGTACACGGGAACTTTGTAGATAGCTTCCACTGGACCAGCCGACCATGAACGGTTTCCGTTTTATCTATATTAGCTGTCCTAGACACAATTTTGCACTGGAGATCTCCCTTGAACTTAACTAAATGTGAGCGAATATTTTTAGGTTTAAACCTTTTAAGTTATGATATCAACAGCAGATGAGATGTGTATAAACAGTTTTTATCCCGCATAGTTACAGTACCCGTCAATCACCCAACTCACCTCATTAGCTCTTCCTCCTTATCAGCCTTCTGGCAGGGCCCACATTTATAATTCCGTGTACCCTCTAATTGTACAGAATGCAGATAAGCAACTGTGCAATAATGTCACATAAATCATAGAAAGTCTCGTTATTGCCGTACATCATCGTTTAGAAGAGATGAGTTGCAGCTGTGTGCGGTTGTTAAAAGTCTCTCAGAAATAGAAAACACGAAAACATATTACTCTTCAAACGAAATAAATATATAATGTATGGATAGGTATTATAAATATGATTTATAACACATCAAGTACACAGGAGACTATATTTCATATTCTTTGGTTTTTAACCTGTCGTATATTTAATCAAATATTCTAACACCTATTATGACGTTGGTATAATAACTGGTTATGTCGACTCGCCGTAAAGCCAAACTAAACTTCAGAAATTTCGCTGAAACTTGAACATGGTTTACTGTTGTTGTTTTTGTTCCTGTCCAATCATGGAAAACATGAAAATTGAAAAATAGCTTTAGCTCAGTCTTAGACCTTTTGAATTTAAACCGGGTATAGCTTATTCATGAACCTAAGCATACCTCAACTTGATAGAAATTGGAACTGGTTATAGTTCAATCATGGATATGGTTTTTAAATAAGCTTAATCATTCTTCAAATATTTAAATCAGCAGTGGCTGTAGAATATTGGACGTGTTTTGTCAGGTGTAGCTTATATGTAGCAGTAATCTTTAAAAAAAACAAATAGAATGAAAAAAATGAACTTACTATACACATAATTGTTATCAACTATTTTGAACCCACCGTTCGCGCCCCTAGCAACACCCTAAAATCTCTAAATGATATACATGTACGTTCTAGATAGGTAGAAAAGAAACTTTATTTACATTTTGAAGACATCTCAAGAACAATTAGAATCTGATGATTATTGTAGACACTCAAAATTGTAACGAACTTTCGGGACTTTTTCTCAGAAACAGGTGTTGAAAGATTTCGTTTTCTAAGAATATGAGTATTACATTTCAATTTTAGCTGCCATATGAACACATCTGCGGATGTTTCAAAATTCCAAATTTCATGGTTAAATGTTGAATTCTGTTTAAGCCGGTGCTAGGGGGCGTGGACAGTAAAAATTGCACTTTCCATTACCGTCCATGAACAGGCTCAATCAAACCGAGCCTGCAACATTTTCAATTTTGTCGTTTTGGGCGTTCTTTATGGGTTCTTTATTTCTCTCTATTTTGACGAATGTAAACAACGGTCACCTTACCCTGAGATTAGTGATGACGTGAACTTAATTAAGTGACGTTGACTATATAATGTATGCTGATATGTGCGGCTTGTAGTCAGGTTTCCTTGAATAATTTTTATGCTTTTGTGCGTTTTGAAAAAAAAGAAAACAAAAGAGAAAAGAAAATCGCAAACATACCCACTTTCGCAATTAAATTTGATTTCAAATAGTTGACATTGACATTTCGTATTAAATGTCAGATGACAATTCAATGGTAATGAATGTTTTTTTAAAACTCCAGATGCATAACCATGTAACCAATTTTAATTATTTGTAACTTATCATCATTAAAAAACTTTTATCACTAATAATCTGGTAAATTAAAAAAAACATCTGCGTTTTTATGTCTTTTCTAGCGAATTTTCGTTTCCCGTCACGTGTTCAATATCCCTGTTTCCGGTGCCTGTACTACCCAATGAACTGTCTTCATTCAGCGCCAAAATGTTACGTGATGTCATTTATTCATGCCTCCGCTCACCTTATAAACGTGTTGACACCTCAACATGACACAAGGTCACATGATTACTGGCATTCTGTCTCTGATATTGATGACACGATCAAAGCCAAAGTGTGCCGATTCACATCCATTCACATGTACAGTCGCCATCGTGCATCTTTCATGCTGGTAGTGACGTGTGTGTCAGTTATAAATAGATTTCTGTATTTTAGGGTTTGTTAGCTGCGGTGAAAAATGAGACCTTTAGTTGAAAAGTTGCATGCAAATTGCTCATGATAAAATTGTTCACAATTGCCAGGCAGGTGGCTGTTCTTACACACTGAAATAAATCAAAGAACAAGCAAACCCCGCATCTTTAATAAGGACGCATGCGGGTAGGAGAACAAAACGCTAATTTTTGATTAATTTATGAAGGATTAGCGGGTAAGTGTTAACCTATTTTCTAAAATGCAGACTTGTTTTTTTAAAAACTTGCATTATTACCATATAAAACCCTCTTTACTGGAAAGATCTTAACCTAAACAATGATGAAATAGAGTATAACTTTAAAGCTGTATTTCGGTTATACAAAATTGACATACTAATTGTTAGTTTCGTAAAAAGGGCTCTACCAGAGAACTCAATATAAAGTAATGATATTTTGTTAAGTCATTCGCAAACGCACAGAGTTATATGTAATACAAGTCTCTGGCGAAAGGACATGCGTGAAATTATCGCTAAACCCAATGGGGTATTTGTTACTGTTTGCTTATATTAGTCATGTTTATAAATAACAATAACTCTCTTTGTCAAAATATGAGAACACAGATCAACAAGGAAGGGCGGCATTTAAAAACATTTTTGAGAAATGACCATAAGTATCAAAGTAGTGTAAATTGATAACCTCCCAAAATACCTATGAAGAAGTATACATTTCATACTTAAAACATCTTAAATAAGGAGCGAGTCAAGCCACATTTTAAGATATTGACTTGTTTAAATCTTACTACGCCAAAATCTTAAATTGATTTTTAATTCTGGACAAAACCATTCATAATTTTAGACAAAATTTCACATATGTACTGACTTATTTTGTTGTTGTTATTGCTTTTTACTTCGCACAAACACAGTAGAGGTCTTATATAGCGACTTACTTTCTAGCTTCACTGGTGGAGGAAGTCCTCGCGTTTCCTTCCGTGCATTATTTCACTACAGCGACCTTTACCACACGGCCACAGACGTCCCTAATAACCGAATAGCGAACACCGATGGCAAGAAATAGTCGGCACTGGTCGCAGTGGTCAACTGCATTTTCGGGAAAATGTAACTTTCAGTAAATTCGTGATTAGCACGAGAAAGCGTTACGCAAAAAGAATGATTGTTTTAACAATATCATGCTGTGGAAATGTACGCACAGTTCTGGTAACACGGAATCCCATTTTTAGTTGGTCATTTTAATCAGATTCGTTCTTAAAGGTAAAGTAACCTAGTCCTGGCAACGTAGCTGGTGCTAGAGGGCGTGAGAGATGTTGCATTTTTAGAATTTCAAATTGTCAAATACCTTTGTTGTTTTCATTGCATCCGAGTGATCATCCCTTTTTTTCTAGATTGTTTACTCTCAAATCATTCGGTAACAGAAGTAAACCAAAGAAAATGTTGTTGTTTTTATTTTATGATATTTATTTATAGATTTGACGAATTGGTTATATAAATACAATACAAATGGGTTTAAAGTTATTATTTTGATTTTCTTTACCAAACAAATAAACAAGTAATTT